GAACATATTTTTGGTAGTTGACAGAGTCTTCACTTATTCACCAAACATTAACATAAAGCACTGGACGGCCGTTTCGTCCTGGTATGGGACTCATCAGCAGTGCGCATCCACGACTCCTGAACCTCGCAGGATTCGAACCCGGGACCTTCGGTCCTAGGCGCGAATGCCTAACCTCTGGGCCACTGGGTAAAAACCAACGATTAAAAACACTCATCTTCATAACTCTAACTGAAAAGTAACATATAGATATAGATATATAGGCACATTCTTTTTTTCACACTGTGAACTTTTCACATAATTTACATCTTGATGATTTATATTCTTTTCATTTACTAAAGTCAATATCTGAATATGACTGGATAAGCTTTTAGTGTAGATTTGATTGCTAATTGTTATATATTCTTAGATTATTTTAATTGTTACCTTGAAGTTCAGATATGATTGATTGCTAGACGAAATGTTGAAATTATGGAAATTCCAATTGCCGAAGTTATTTCAAGCGTAATTTTTACAAATATTATTTTTATCATGGTTATACAATACCTTTGATACAAGTGATTTTGAAAATTAATATTATTCTGATTACTAATTTTCAGGTGACTGTTCATTTATACCTCATATGTTTAGTAATATATTTCATTAAAGTTAACTTACTTGCTATTGAAATCTATACTAGCTCTACTATTGTATCCTAGTTTTAATAACTGCAGTTCATGAAACGGTTACATCAAGTGTTTTTTTCATAAGCTAGTATATATTACTGAGGAATGTCACTATGTTAACCAATAACATCATACTACTGACTACACTGTACAACTCTCAGTCAGATGATTTGTTCTATAACTGTAGGTGACTATCATCATTTTCCTATCAGTTTTGAAGAATGTGATCAATATTTAATTCCATGCTAGACCGCTGAATTTCTTAAGCCACCACCCCCCTCCAAAAACAAATCTCACTAGTCGTAAGGATTACAAATAAAAAGTATTGTCAATAATAATTTTATTATCATCAATGATTTTCTCCAAGTTAACAATAACATCTTTAGATAGGTAAGTAAATTTAATACTCTACTTGTTTGAACCCTCTATTTAGGGATAACAATTCTCTAGAGATGTGACATCATTGAAAGTGTTTTTTTTCGACTTTATCTAATCTATCTTGTTTCGTTATGCTTTCGTTTGTGTCTCTATTCCTTACTGTGTAGATAAATTTTTCATTAAAATCTGTGTACAGTGTTACTTCTGGAATTTCTTTTATATTATTATTGCCAAAATAGATTTCCACCTTTTGCTCTTTTCAAAAAAATAATTTTGTTAAGTGAGCAGCAGATAGAAATAGTTATTCAGTCAGTTTTAGTCTTGAATTTTTTTTATCTCATGTGAATACTTTAAAATCAATGATTCAAAAGAGAAAAAAAATAGTCGACTAATTTCTGAACAAAAATCATCAGAAATAAAGTTGAATGTACTGCCAACAAAACAAACTGAACATTACTGAAGTTATGTGTTAATGTCAAATTGATTTTTATAAATAAATTGTTTTAGGTCAAGTAGTCGAAATTCAAATTAACCTTATGACCTATGATTAGTTAATTAATGTATTGATTGAATATAAAAGTTAACTTATTTGGCTCAAATAAAATATTTAACCTTTAGTAATAGAATCACTGTATAAAATTTTTAAAAAATATTCTATTAACTATTATATTTGTGTTAATTGCTTTAACTTACTATTCAATGTATTATTATCAATTGTCTTGGTTTTAATCGGTTACAAATCTTTTTCATATTTAAGAATATTGAAGATTCCCATTGTGAAAATTAGAACAACACATATAAACGAACAATATTGTTTTTGATTAGATCGTCATCAGGCTTTACTCTCTAATATACCTAAATGTTCATATGAAAATGTTAAACCAATCAAAGCAATTGGAGTCGATAATCACAATGAAACGAAATAGATTACGTCACTACACATAATAGGCAAAATTACAAGTTGTGTAATGAATATTCATGTATAATAGCGTAAAGTCTGATGACAATCTAATCAAAAACAATATTGTTCGCTTTTATGTGTTGTTCTAATTTTTCATATTTATAAAATTATTAAAATAAATGATTAAGGTATAATTTTTACTTCATCAGTCATCCTGTTACTGATAGATATGATGCTTTCGGTTTCAACATTATCAACTATTAATGATTTTAACTTTCTAAAAAATTTGGAATCAGATAGATGTTCATTACTTTTTAACATTTCATGATTCTTCATTTGTGACGGGAATGGTTTTCAAATAAAAATATGAAGAGAGCTATGCATAAATATGACTTTACATTAATGAATAGGAGATCTGAGTATGAATATGTATCGTATTGTAAAATAAACGGTAGTAAGATTTTTCCATATTTATTAGAACCTATGCGATCTGATTTATTTTAATCCATTTATCAAGTGTTTATTCGGTTTTGATGCACACTGGTATACGTGTGCTGATGACGCTATCCAACTTCTTAAACTAAAGTAAATCGGATGGGATTCAAACCCACTATTCGCTAATTGAAAAGTGAACAGTTTGATCACTAAACCATCGGTTTCATCTCTTAATAATCTTGTTAAAGTGTCAACACAATTTTTGTGATTGTACATTTTTTAGAATTGTTCACCCTTTAGTAATTTGAATTGCTTTGAATCTTGTCTTTTTCAAGAGTTCGCTCTACAAGATGATAAAGTTGTAACGACTTAGCTTGAGAAGCTTTTAGATACTTGACTTTATTCATACCAGTGGTAATTTCTGAAAAAAATGTAGAAAACTACATAAAATTATAGTTTGCATTAACTGATTTCTGATGTTTTGTGCTTAAGTTAGAAACTATGGATTACACGAATTCCAGTTCATTCAAAAACGTAATACTTGGTGCTTAAAAAAAATTTCTTATATTTCATTATAAATTGAGTTTGATATAATGAAAGCTTGATATGTTATTTACTCACTACGCCTGTCACCCCCAATGGGGCATAGGGCATCGATCAGCATTCTTTAACCTATGAATGAAACACTGAAAAGTAGTGAGCGTTGGCAGTTATGAACTTCTCCGTTCTTCACTATGACCGATGTCCAGTCTCAAATTTTTTTTGATTAATCAGCATGCGGTTAAAAATAGCAATGTAGATCTTTTTGTGATGTCTTCTTTTAATGTCTGCTGATGAACCACAATAATTCTTCACACTAAAAATCTCTCGAAACCTGCTGGTCTTTTTTTCTAATTAAAATATTATGACTAAACCCTTAAGTCGAAAATGTGTTCTTAATCCTGATATTTTATAAAATCTTCACTATGGAAAGGTTTTCCATACAGACATCTTAATAAATATCCTATCTGTAAGGTAAGGAATTAATCATCTCGCAGCTATGCTATGTGGTAAAATTATTTTTACGCCTTTACGGAAAAAAGTAATAGAATTTAGTAATCTTGCAATTTACATTGATCGCAGTTAAAATGTACAAGACAAACTGTAACTCACCGACGGGTCTATCAGAAACCCTAAATTGCAATTACTTACTATCTGATTATTTGGTAATACATATCAATATTTATTCTCTCAATAAGTAATTTTCAGAATATTGCAAACCGCTTTCTAATTCTAAACAATTTTATAATTATAAATATATGTGTATATACAGTTTCTCACAAACACTACTTATTTGTTCACGTTTGCTTAAAATCATGAAATTAGATTGACATACTTATCGATTAGAGGTATTTGTTCACAAAAGTTCCTTACAATAGTTTATCGCTCATAATTATTCTTTCGACTTATAGCATGATTTATAAAACCTATGAATAAACTATTATAATAACAAATGAGTGATGTTTGATTGTCAACCAACGTTTTCTTTTGCTAGTGAATGAATATGAAAATGTGAATAATATAAGTTTTTGAATTCAGTTATATAGTTTAATTGTTTATTCACTAAAGTCTAATTGATCCGACTTGTTTAATCAACATAAACTATTCTATCGATGTATATTTTTTCATATTTTGATTTAAAAGATACGTTTGATGATCACTTTTCATTTCGATCAAGGGGTATGGCTTTGTCATGAAAAAGAAAAAACTGTTATTGATTATTTAGTTTGATAATATTCATAATGAGATCATGTAAGCAGTGAAGTGTGAATATACACTGGCACATACATACTGATTTTCATGGTCCTTTGTTGATATTTCAAGGGTTTCTGCAAAAAATAAATCCGCTATCCAATGTATACAGTAGGCTATAATAATTGACAAAGAGACTGATACAATGTGTTGTATGTATATATGTATATTTATATATGTAGTCATTATTAGCATTTAAAATAAGCTTTAATAAACATGTATGAATAGAGAACAAAAAAATACAACTACATATTAATTATAATGAGTTTGGAAATTAGATTGGTTTTATCTGATTTTATCTTTTGTTTTTCATCATTTCATGCGTATCAGTTATAATTGTGTAATGATAAAGTATCACGGATAGAGTGTTTTTTAAACTAAGTGAATAGCAATAATGTACTGTTTTCATTACATATGTAACAATTAGCAAACACAAAATGAAAACATTTCACAAATAATTTAAATACGTTAAACGGTAAAATAATGTTAATTAGTATTTATTGTATTACTGGTATGATTTTCATGTATTAATTAAATAATTGACAAAGTTGCTCAATGTCAGTTTCCAATCGTTTCACTGTTCTTTTTTTTGATTGGATAAGAATTTTTAAAAACTAAGGTTTAATTCAAAAAATCAATACGGTAAATATTACCATCCAGAAATGATATTGAAACACTTAAACGAATAAAAACAAAAGAAGATAATGACGTACATCAGGTAGATTGTAAAATAAATGAAAACTTCATGAAATCAACTACTGTACATTCATATATATATATATATATATATATATATATATATATATATATATATATATAGTTGTATATGAAATAAATTATTTAAACAAAACTGGAATTATGATTATCTCGAGCAGGTTTTTGTTCTGTTATATCTGCGGAATGCTGATTATATTTTAATGGTGTATAGATTTGATTAATTGAATTATTGACCTGCTGTTCATTACCAGTTAAACAAATAGATTTTGTTTGATCATTTAAATTGTTCTTCATTTTATTATTAGCATTAACATGACTATCATCATTATCTACGTTAGTTTCATCAAGTGAACACACAGTGATTTGTGGTGTACTACGTAAAGTAAAATTATTCGGTGAAATCACATTATTGTCAACATTGCTAGCTGTATTATTGTTGTTATTATTATTGTCTAAATAAACAGGTTGTCTAGTTGATAATAAAGTACAAGTAGGATTAGGTCGAAGCCAATTTTCATTGTCATTTCCTCCGTAAATTTGTTTGAATGATTGAACATTGTTTAAATAACGGTGAGTACATTGTGGTTGAGCTAAAATTGCCAAAAAATGCATTCACATTTCAATTGAATACAACGCAATTAGATAATAATGCATAAAATAGATAATAATAGCTTCATTTTAGTGTAGAATTTGTCACACTTGGTAGTTCGCAGCATATATTGTGCATTATTGCAATATATTCACATACAACATGAATTTAGATTATGATTATTGAATAATACATTCAGTAATTATTACAAACAATAAATATCTACCATCTCTCTTCAAATCGATTTTTTTACTCGAAACTAGCTGAGCTCATTATCTTCTACTCAAACTCTGAATATTTCACTCGCTGATAAAACAGTACTATCTTCTGTTTTTTGAATATACAACAGAAATAATATTAAAGACCATAATTAGAATAAAAACTTCTATAAACTAAGTTTATTTTTCTCTCATTGCTTAAATTCCATTAGTAAGTGTTATATTGATTTGATATAAAGATAACTGATTGCGCTATCTAATTATCGTTATATTTTGTTTGAATTAGCGGTAGTGAAATGTGAATGATGAAAATTAAAAATTAAAGCAGAATGGTAATAATAATAAAATTGTTGATTACATCTACTGTGTAAACGTAACAACAATATGTAGTTACAAGAATCGTTAGCTTAAATGGATTTAAGCAGATGTCGTTAAAAATGTGTATTTTATTTCTAAAATGCGTTAGATTTTTGTCCTAGTTTTTTTTTCTGTTAGTCAGATTTTTAAAATAAACGATTCAATGGGATTAAAACAAAATTCCGTATTGTGGATTTTATTACTAATGTTAGTAGTAGTAGACAAATCAATGTTGACCAAAAAAGAAATAAAGGTGTGTAATTTTCAGCTGATCACATTGATGATAATGTCGATAGAATCAAGTTACTTGAATTGATTGAAACCTTAATGTTATTACTTTTACGACTAAGTAATTTAAATAGGAAATACCTACTTAAATATAATTTACAAGGATTTTACAACAGATAAGTGGCAATGTATTTCAATGTTATTTTGTCAAGTTTGTTGAGTCTCATTTGAAGTTTGCCGAAGTACTTTTGTTTTAAACCCTTTCATAGACATTGACAAGCTCATCTATTTTTATTGCAGTTTCTTTTTACGTCACTAAGTGGTTAGTAGTTTCTTACTAATATTTTCAGAAAACAGTTGATAGTATTTTACTTCATCGGTTGTGTAAGTTTTTAGTTATTTTTCCTAGTTTACTTATACTGATTCCACTTAAGTATTACCATTCTTGTTTTCTGGTTAAATCATAAGTTCACTTCAATAATGTTCAATAAATTAATCCGAATATATGAACACTACATGAATAGTAATATCATTTGTCTGCGAAATAAGTTATGAGTTTCCTCGTTCAAAAACACATTTCTAATGACTTCATAAGTATTTTCACAAATTTGCAAAAACAGTCGATGTTGTCTAGTTTCATTTATTTATATGATCCTAGTAAACCTAGGTATAACGGCAGTTAGACGTATTAGCGACTAAATGGATGAATTTTGTTAAATTTTACACGGTTCGAAACCATACACTACTTTCTACTAAATAAGAATCCAACCTATGTATCACTAGAAAAATAGTGACTGGAAATTCAAATAATTTGAATTATTTTGATGCTTTCTGACGTTAGTTTTATTTTGGGAAAATAAACTGCTGAAAGGTTTTCATGATTATTTGGGTTGTGAAAGATCCTTTACCTGGCTTGACTGTAAATGGAAAGTTCATAAATAAACGTTAGACACATATATGGAAGAAAATGCTAAATTTTGAAGTTGTTATAAAGTATTCCGCTCACTAAACTAGAATTTCATGAACGTCATTCGGTTTAAGTCGTTAGTTAATCTGAGAAAACTTTTTGTATGCACTAGAAATTTCTATTATTTTTCCAAATCTTTCGGCTAAAACAGTTTTATTGAATAAAGTATTAAAAAGCTAACCGAAGTAACAAATGCGAATTCGAACGAATTATTTATATGGTGAAATAAGACCACCAGAACATATTGATTTTTATGCATCTGAGTTCACTGCTAATTTAAACTTACGTTCCATAAAATGTCCAGTATGTAGTAAGATACTGTAATCATTGGACTTGTAGTTTTCGTCCAAACTGTTTGGTCTAGAAGAAACAAGTGAAAGAGATACTGGAATGCGCGTTGAGTAGACTGTTACATCATCCGACTGATGATCTGATTTCATTGAAGTGCCAGTAAATAGCAATGGAGTTAATCTGCAGTCGTCATCTGTGTTTGAGAATATGAGTAAAAAACAATCGGAATAAAGCTATAGATAATTCTTTTATATGAACAAACACTGAACGTTCATCAGTAAACATTTAGCCATAGAAAAGTTAATACGTGTAATTTGTAGAGCCGTTCAACATCTTATTGATTTTTCAATTACTAGCCAATTGCGAATGTTAGATAGCTTTGATTTGTTGTTTTATGAGGTACTACAGAGTCAAGTTCGTTCGGTACAGATTTAGTAATGAATCATTCGAGTCCGATTATTTAAGTACTGATATTTTTGTAGTTTGTCAGAAAATGCGATGTAGCGGATTGGTAGACTTTAGTAGATCGTTGAGAATTTACGCTCACCGATGAAGCTAATCTATCGGTTGTGTTATTTATTGAACCAAAGAGTCAACAATCTCATAAACTACAGTCTAATTTAAGTCATCGAGTAACAATAAAAGATGAAACTTTGGAAGTAAACTGAAAAAGTATTGACTGTCATCATACTACCTAACTGAAATGACTCAGTAAGTATTATTATATTCAGTATTAAAAGTAAAACATTTTTAAATTGACACTTATCTATATACGGCTTGAGTATGAGGGCAACAGCCAGTTAACTGGACAATAAAAAGTATTCTTGATTTTGTATGTTATACTCATTCACAAACTAGGAATCTTTAAATTAGTGATTTTATGGTGACTATTGTCAATGCTTATTTACTAATGTATTATACTGAATCATCGTGGCAAGTTAAAATATTATGAGATTTGTTGAATTTAAAAGCGATAAACTAATATAGATTTTGTAAGCTTGTTAACTCTTCACAATAAGGTTTCCATGTTCTTTTTAATTTTATAAGTTTGATAATGTTATTTAATATAATAATAAGAACTACTATAAGGAATATTTTTCTGAAGACTGTATTTCAAATCTTTTTGTAACATAGAGCATTCTTCGAAATTATTCTGTATTCAAAGTCAAGTAAGGTTATAATATTGAATGATTTTTTCCAACTTCATTCGTGATTTGTTGAATGGAATTGTCTAAGAATTAATTTTCTCATTAAAACAAATATACTTTCTAAATTTTATACCTTTCGATAAATTATCAATCAAAGCAAACAGTGAAAAACAATGTTGAGTGACAAGAATGTGATAAGATGATAGATTGCCGTTATCATCCCATTGTGTTCTTATAAAACGTTTTAGAAGAATTCGATAAGAAACAATGATTCAAACCGTAGATGAAAATGTGCATTAGGCTCAAATTCTAATTTTCTCGATGAATGTCAAAAAGCATACAATAGAACGTTATCGCTTTTTCCCTATTTAACGCATGATTTGTGAAACAATTATGTGATTGTACGAATAGAAATTTTTGCCTAATATGCTACTTAATTCAACGATAAGGCTAACAATGTCTTTCATACTGTTAAATTGCTAACTACTAGGAATCTTTGGATAAAACTCAGGTTACAGAGAAATTTGTTCTTAACACGACAGCATGTTTATTTACAGATAAATGGTGATTTCATGATAATTCTTTTTATAAAAACTTTAAGAGCAATAATGCGCAGTATATTTAATGTGACTTTAACGACGCAATATTTACAAATACTTCAATACAAAAGAAAATGAAAGTGATAGATAGAATAGAATTATGTACCAGGGGATGACAATATGAGCACATTGCTACCCATGAATCGTTTTTAAATAACTGATTGAAATAACATAGAAGTTTAACAACAGGAAACATATCCACATTTTATAGTTAACTTAACGGACTGATCTTACTCGATCGATAGAAACTGTGACCAATGAAGTCTGTTTCTAACGAGTATGAGGTAGTTATCCATCAAGTATATTAAAATGTGATGTTCGCAATATTACGAACTGACTAAAGCTGAACATTAAAGCCACTAGATACCAGCTTACTGATCAAGTGGTTGGTTAATGCTAGCATTAATCGTTGAGGGGAAAAGTTGATAGTACAAGCTATCAGTTATATGTACAGGAATTCGAACACTTCACCTCTATTTGTGCTAGTGTTATTCAGAATAACAATCGAAAGCTTTATGACTGAACCATGAAACTTAGAGAACCAAACTGAATGATGATCGTCCACCTGAGCTAGAAATCTACAGCATCTCGTAGTTAATGAATATTGGTCCATTTTTATTCACACTACTGTATTTTAATGATCATTTAAGATAACAGTATCCTAGTATGAATACAGTTATTATGTATTTCCCATTTATTGATTGGCCATGCTTATGTCCATATTGTACTTGTTCAGGAGAAATGTTTTTATTTATTACTTTTAGAACAATCTCGTATCACGATAACTGTGTTATCTATTATTGATTCATGAAAAAACTATGCTCTTTGATAATCGTAAAACTAAAAAATGTTACATTCTATTTGTATTTGCCAAAGTGTTACAGTTCAAATGGACACTTTAATTTAGTTGGTCAACCGTTAAATTATCCTCAATTTAGTATGTGTGGAAAAAAATAACCTGAAATTTACAATGTAATATACTCTTTCTCTTCTCATTTCTTTCTCTCTGTATATCTGTCTGTCGTCGTCTCACTTATTCATTCACTCACTTATCCACTTACATGCAAACTATCCTTATCTCTCTGTCTTTACTGAATGAAAGTTATAATATTGTTATTGAGCCTACTAATATCAATACTACATTCAACTACCGTGACCAAAGTAATAAATGAATCAACAAGGAACTACATCTCTAAAGTTATTTATTTTTCGTAAAATAATAACACTTTATTATTTGAATAAGTTATCATGAGTTATTCATTGAATGTGACTGGGTGTAGTTTTAACTAATCTTTGAAAAATATTTTAATAAAATATAGTATTTAGTGTTAGGTTTCATTTATAATTGATAGCTATAGATTTAAATGGATTTGGTTTGTCGAAAAAATGCTTCCAACTTTTCAAACATAAATTGTAATCAATTGATGATTGTCTCTGATATTTGTTGTTTCAAATTATACAGTCTAAGTCAAATTTTAGAGCGATTATGTTGATGATAAGAATGATGTTTATTGGAGATAATAATTTTGGTTATTGATGTTAACAAGTGGTAAGCGTAGATATAATCCATTTATGGTTCAGTATATTGTTCATTTGTTTGAGTCAATCAATCTTAACAATGTTTAAAACTGCAAGATTAGTTTTTTACATTTTAAAAATAAAATGAATGATGCATAAATTGAAATATTTATTTAAAGATAATTCAAATCCTTTTGTTTTGTATAAATAAGTTATTGGTAATTTCTGCGTTAATATGTTGAAAGCTTTAATAATTTTTTACTCATTTAACTGGATTGGATGAGATATGAAGGCATAGGTCGGAAAATCAAGGACAGCATTTCTACAACTGAGCAACATCTGGAACTCCAAACAATTTCAACAAACACCAAAATCAGAATTTTCAATACAAATGGCAAGACAGTTCTACTGTTTGAGGCGAAAGCCATCATCCAAAAGATACAAGTACTAATTAACAATTTTCTACGCAAAATACTTCGAATGCGCTGACCAGATACAATCAGCAACAACCTACTGTGGGAGAGAACAAACCAGATTCCAGCGTGGAAGTGGAAGGATACACATTGTGAAAAGTACCCAACTGCCCTAACTTGGAATCATCAAGGTCAGAGGAAAAGAGGAAAACCGAAAGAAACAATACGTCGAGCAATGGAAACAGACGTGAGAAGAATGAACTAGAAAAGAAGTCCCAGGACAGATTAGGTTGCTGAATGCTGACTGGCGGCCTATGCTCCATTGAGAGTAACAGGCGAAAGTAAGTAAGTAACTTATCTGACAAATGGTGAGTTTCATCAAAGTAAAATACATGAATATTTGTAGAAATTTAGTTTTGTTTTTTGCAAACCAGTTCATAGTGTCATTAAAACAAAGTGAAGATCTGATCAATCTGTAGAAAAGTTTCGTGATAAACTAGTATGCAATAAGAAACTAAGATGCACTAGATGTAAATTTCAACTTTGTGTGTTGCAACTTAGCGGTGTACACTCCTGAAGACATATTTAACTAGATAAAAGCGTCTACCGATTATGTATGTTTTGCAAACGAAGTTCAGTTTATCATAAACATGATTTTTAAATCGGGATTCCGCTTGATAACACAAACTCTTTGAAACCTATCATTTTATTTTATTTTTAACGATTAATTCAATTCATCAGTAGTTTAAAATAAAAACATCATTCTCACAGATTCCTTACACAGAAGGCGAAAATTCTAATTAACAAGCTCGGAAGTTAGAGTGGATTTAACAGGAAAGTAGTTTTATACTATAGTGACCCTACTATATATTGAGTATCTCTACCAAAGAGATGAAAAAAGTCAAACTCAAGAAGATAGCTCCAGTCATAACAAGATGATTAAAAAAGTTAGTCATCGAAATATTTTGTAAGACTTAACTAACTCTGGGGTTAAAAATACATTGATTTACCAAAAAAACTTTGTTATTGATCACAAAATTTTTATTGATTTCCATGAAGAAAAATATCTGAGCAGTAACTAGTGTCCACCTTGTAAAAATTATCAAGATACATTTTCCTATGTGCTTGTCTATACGCCGATCAGTTTTTGATAAATATAAGAAAGCGTCAATGTTTTGAGTAAATTGTAATTCTGAGCCTATTTCATACTAGTCAGATGATTGTTTGTATTTGATAACTTATCGTTTCTTCTGTCTGGATTAATATTATTTACATTATCCGTGATTTATTTAAACGCTAAATGTAAGATTTCAGAGTTACAGAATGGAATTTTGAATAACAAATTCAAAATAACCGAGATGATTTTCCCAAGATTTCGATGGTTTTACTATTTATGAATATTTTGTTTCTCTAGCATCTTTGCAGTTGATTTTAAATTTGAATGAGATAAGTGTATGATGCATGCTTGTATAAATAATCGGTAACCAACTCTAATCAAATTTAAAAAAAATAAAAACCCATAACATTTTACTCATTGACCATCAGGTCAAATCAGCAGATCAAAATAATCTAAAAAGGGTCACGTTTAGTTTTAGCCCATAACTAAGACAAGTGTAGTAAACTCGACCAAATAAGTAATCAATGAAAATTCGGGTGTTTCCAACAAATGCAGTGATAGTTTATCAGCCAAAGAAATGTTGAATAAAATAACAGCTTCAATAGCAGCTATATAAAAATGCTAAAGAAAATCAATTTCTGAGTCTTAGTTCTATGAAACAACACCCTACATGGCTAAAAATTAGTAGTAATTACCTCGCTGGTAAATGCTTGTCAAAAGTAAAATTAAATTAGGCACATACATAATAAGAATTAGTCCGGACAGTGTAGAAGTGAAACACCGGATCAATTTTAAATTAGGAATTGTCTATGTCAATAATACTGAATAATGAAGAAAGGAAATATTTCTAATATTTGAATACATCAAGTGATTTCAGTGTTATATTTACAAATCGTAAATTGTAAAACAATCAATAAAATATGGTTAAAATATAGCTAAACAAATACAAAGACATGATAGATACATTTCAAAACAGAAATGAAAAGCCATCTGCTCATCGCATTTTGATCTGTTGAATAATTTGTTGAGCAACTATTTGAATTATAATGATATGAAAAGATCCGTGTTTATCGATTCCGAACAAAATTAGTTCAGTTCACAAAATGAACACCGTCGATTTAATTGCATATAGTAAAGTTATACAAATTATTGAAAATGACACTGTTGCGTAAGGAAGATATGAATAAATGAACTCTTGGCTGTTATAAAATCTATTGTCACGTATATGACTATCAGGTTAAAAATTTTAGCGTGTGTGGAATCAATATTTTCACTTTAATTTTATTGGAAATAAAGATGAAAATTTACAATAATCATCAATCATTATTACTGTGTAATTTTAGTCCTATTCGATGACAAGCTATATTTTAGCTTAGTAAAGCGTGAATTCATCTTAATAGAAAAACCACAAAGCTATAAACACATGCCCTCACTTTGTATCGTAAGTATGAACACGAATACTTCATTCAATACAGCATTGTGTAGGTATTGAAGTAGTTATTTTACAGCTAGAAACTTATTATTAGACTGATAGTTGCTGTAACGCAAATTTAAACTACTTATATAGTGTTAGACAATTTTAAATGAATCACCCCGTTACAGTGTTCCTGTACTTTTCATGAATAATAAATGATTAATTTGAGAAAAAATATTCTTCTAGATTTATTGCTTCGATAAAGCACACTGCATTTTTATTGAATCATAGAGAACTGATGTTTAAAATATATTTTTTTTTATTGCCAACGAAATACAAATTAATAATGTTAACTGATGAAGTCTTCGTCTGTACTTAATGCCCTTCCGAATGCAAACAGAACTTAAGTATTTGACGATAACACAACTTAAGTTGTATCAAAACGCTTTTAACATGCAATCAGAAATCAGCTGTACTTATTATTTTAGTTTAACAATCACTTTTGGAAAAAAAAATAATTTACATTTAAATAAGAAAAAAAAACTGTTTACCTTGATTCACTTGTTCTGAAGTATACCTTGTTCCATTGAGACAACTTGATCTTAATGTCTGACTTTTATGACAAGGCAATGTACAATCATGTTGAGGTGAACGTATACATTGAGTTAAACTGAAATTCGATTCAGGAAGCACTTTTTTAAATTTATTTCTTTTAAAATCATTTGACGATGTACCAAAATTAATATGCCATTTTTTATTACGTTGTGTAGAACTAGTCGACTGAGATTGTTGACTATGCATTCGATTATGTTGAGAATCATTGAAAGAATATGGTGATTCTGTTGTTCGTATTGTTTGTTGAGCTTTTACACTACGACATCGAACGATTACGAATAGAATGAAAATTAAAACAAGTGCAGCTAGTGTAGCTATGACCATAGCAATTAATATTAATAAATCGGAAGAAAGTAATAGACCTCTATGAGATTGATGCAACTGAGAACTCCATAAATTGGATGCATCATTATTTATAGAATGTGTTGATAATTTCACTGATTCTTCTGTTTCATAATCGTTCATTCCATTATTTTTATTATTATTATCATTGTTATTATTATTACTATAAACTGTATGGCTTTTTTGATCGTAAATTTTTAATCGAGATTTTTGTGGTCCATTTACCAGTAGTGATGAAGAAATAAATGGTTTTTGAATAAAAATATCCAGAACAGATGATGACGTTTTTGGCGGAACACCATGATCAGTTGCTTGTAAATATAAACGAAACATTGAAGTTGTAATGGAGTGCCATCTTTTAGGATTAGTATGTTGACCGTTACTATTACTATTATGTGTAGTATCATCATTAGATTCAACTGTTGAAGAATAAGTTGTTATTGGTTGAGCTAAATACAACCATCCACTCTCTGAATCCAATTCAAATTGTCCACCTTCATTACCACTGAGTAAATTGTATGTTACCTTTCCTCGTAGACCTTCGTCTGGATCAGTAGCAATTAACTAAAAGTTAAAATAATTTCAAATTATTGCATGAACTCATAATCGATAAATATAATGATAACTAGCATTGAAGTTTGTTATCATCCATTTAGTAAACCTATGATGAAAGGAATTTAAATGTTACTGGAACTGCTCGTCGTGACAAACACACTGAAATGTGAAATGGTGACCTAATGCTTAGAGCACTTTACTTGTTCTTCAGTATCTAGAGCAGAATAATAATATCAATAGCCATCCAGGAAAAACGAAGTTTGTCTGTAAATGTGCCTTCAAGTACTTTTTAAAAGAATTGCACAATTAAGCTATTTAAGTCACCCATAAGTTAGAAAATTTCAAATCTATGGGATGAAAGTTTATTCTTACAAAAGGTTATGAGACATGTACCAACCATTGGGCAGTCGCTGCTATAGTTCACCTCTTGGATCGAAAGTATGGATCACTGAATCTCTAACCGTTACGAAATCTTAAGATCATGGGTTCAGTTGATGATAGGGTTCAAAATGTGTACTATTTACAGGTCTTAAAAACTAAAACCAGCTTTATTTCGCTTCTCAGTTTTTCGGTTCTCCGAATGAAGGACGGTTCACGTCAAAAGCGATCACAAAATATCACATATTGCATATTTGGTTTAAGTACAGCTGACGTACATTTTGTTACATCCCAAATTATAACAAGTTAGTGTTTATAGATAAATTTGGCAGAATAATATTTTTATCAATTTGCTGCCTTTCTAGTTATTTCGCGTGTTCAACATTACAAGAGGTGCTAAGGGGACGAAAATGGCGACTCCTTAAGTTATTCATCTACCGAATAAGCGCAACCAATTTCATTACTTTTAATACTAGTCATCATTAACGTCTACTCGTATAATTTAATGCAAAATTCTGTATTTCTACCACTATTGTGTTATTTGTTTATCAAGCTACAGTATTTTTCACATTTTCCTCTGGTAAATGACAACGACTTGCAAAATACTATTCAGTTTCCCTAAATTTACACTGTTTAGTGTTTATATCACCTTCGAATTAGTTTGCTTTACAAAATAGTATTTAAATGCATAAGCATGTTACAAGTAGTCAATAAACAACCCACAAATTTTGAATAAAGCTATACTCATTCTAGTAAACTTATTAATTTTTCGAGTAAATTTTCACTGTAAATTGCCAACTTTTTATTACACTACAGTGAAATAAATATAACACATAGAAGTATGATAGTTTTTTTACTGTTTATACACAGAAAAGATTTTGAAATGTTTCTAAATAGAATGCTATCAAAAATGTTACATTCCATTTTTGTATAAATTAGTTATTATTCATGAATGGTTGCAATAATTTCTATTTTTCTATTGTTAAATGTCATACACTTAAGTTGATTAATCTTTGATGGAATGTTAAATTCTTGAGCAGATATTATGAAATTATTTGGAGTTAAAAGATTGGATTTTTTTTACTACAGGTATGTTAATCTATTTAGTCTTAGATGGGATAAAGAGCATATTGTAGAATTTAATATTAATTATCAAGCAGATATGTGATGAAACAGGTCCACACCTTACGCAGTATATATATCTATCATCACGTGACTACATGGGTTTATATATAATAGCCTACCAATCTTAAATTAGAATGCACCAAATTAATTAATCATTTTAAATTCCATGTCAACTTCATTGTATTAACTTTACTTATTTCTACCAATTTAGATTAATCATTCACAACACAATATTGACGTGATTATTTCAACATGCTAATAATAATGATAATGATAATAATAATAATAAAAATGATTAAAATTAGTTATTTAGCAGTCAACCGAGAAAACTATCAGATATTTTTTTTTCTTCCGGTTCATTGAGTATGTAAACTTGTGCTGAAAATGAAATCTCATTTATTTCCCAAACTGTTTCTCTTTTTTTCAAAAAAAAATCTTAATATTTCAAATAAATCATGACAATAAATTTATTTTCATGTTTGTACTGGCTTGAACATTTTATTGTTATTTCTGTAATGATCTTTTTTTTCTATAATTTTTAAACTGATTTATTTACCTCCCTAAAAGCGTAATCAATTTTCTCCTAATCTCTCAGGTTTCTTCTAATTTAATAATAATAGTTGTAATAATAGTAATACTAATTATTATTATTATTATTATTATTATTATTATTGTGATAATCGTAGTAATGGATATTCGGGTCGGTGAGTATGAAGGCAGTTTGCTTTTATGAAATTATGCATAAGCACACAGGCAGATAGACACATCAGTGTAAAGTGAATTATTAGAAGTATGCATATGTATACAAATGTATGTGTGTTGGACGGTTAAAACATGTGCAAACAGCGCGATAGAAAGACGGAGTATAACAGTGGAGAGAAATATATTTTGATGGAAAAATTATTATTATTATTATTATTAAACCCTATGTTTATGCTTGATTAACTGTGAAAAAAATTAACAATTGATTTATTCTGTACAACTCAATCTTATATCAAGGCAATGCTGGAAAATGAGATTAGTGTTACATTTTGAAATAAAATAAACTTATTTTTGGTAATATGATATTTATGATAATATTCATTTAAAGATTATAATTATAAAAATAAAAATATTCATATTTTTAGCAAAGTGAAATTTCTTGAGTGGTACGATTGATTATTCAATCAGTTAGTAAATAATAAATTTACATCTGTTCTATATCGCTTGCCTTTCAAACTGTCAAGCTCATATATCCACACAATTTAGGATGACTTGGATTTCTTAATGTACAACCTCTCTTAAGTCATTGCATTGGCGCGAAGTAATTACTGAAATTCATTGCATAGCTTTATTATTATTTTTTTTTTTGAATAATAAATTTGGCAAAATATCGTGACAACGCATAACGAGTATTTACTCAGCACATGCATTTACACACGCATATTATAGGTGTGATTTTAATTTATCGCTATTCCAGTTTCATTCCCTCAGTGTAATAAAGGTAGAGGAAATATATATTTATTGACAGTGGAGTTATACGTATATATATATATATATATATATATATATATATATATATATATCAATTTATATATAAATACTGATCGATCTGTTCATTAGTTGTTTTGAAATTCTCCATTTTTAAAAATTACGTTACCAACCTTTGGTGATTTATTTTTGCTACATTTGCCATTATCATCATTGTTATGATGATGATGATTATCAATGTTGGGTTGGTGTTGATTAATTTATCCATTTATTTATTTATATATTTATTTATTCATCAACTTTATAAATTAATTATTGCTCTTTCACTATATACTGTTCAATTGCAAACACGTATACACATACACATTGGCATACAGAAAAAAAGGAGCATGGAAATGAGAGCTTATTTCATTGATTAATTCAAACAATCATCATTATCATCATGAAATGGGATTCATTGAAACGATTTGATCATATATGTATATATATATATATTGAGATAAATACTAGGTCGAAATGATTTCTCTAGAAAAATAAATTTCATTTTTTAAAAACAAAATTTTGGTAAAGTATTTTCAAAGTGTGGAAATTATAGAGAGTAGATATTATTTGAATTTTTTTTTAATTCCAATGTTTAATCGCCCACTATCTGAGATTCATATTAAAAAGTGGATAAAAAAGTTAATAGGTAAGGTGTATGTGTGGAACAACTGACAAAGCACCTGATCTTGGATTTCTAGCTATAAATTTGGAGAAAAAAGATTTCATTCTAGTTGTCTGAAGTTTTATTGAAAAATATTTCCTCTGATGTCGTTACACTAATAAAGAGGGCGAATCTAATCATACTTACAATTTAATTTAATCATTTCTTTACATTATGATTAAAAAATAAGATTAGTTTATTTGCAGTTTACACTATAGATTGACTCTACCAAGATAACTGGTGAGGGATAGAATTCTAAGACTGTACTATCTTCAGACAACCTCTTCAACTAAAGATTATTTATCATAATTTTTTAAATGCTAAAAAATACTAAACTACATGTCAACCGATGTAACTATACATTTTAAAACTAGCTTTTTAATAACTGTACGACTGTTGAACACTTAGTTATTAGTTGAGTAGTTTCAATAACATATCATGTTTGAAGCTAGTTCAATCTTAATACAAATAAGCTAGGAATTTTCCAAACATTAAATAACTACTTATTAATCACAAACAATACATTAGTACCAAATATCGCTTTTATCTGTTCCAAACAGAAAAAATTCAAATCTTAGAGTAACTAACTTTTGTAGAACGAGGATGGAAGTAATTTGATCGACAGACTGTGTAGATAAAACCTTTCATAATCATGCCAGCTTCATGACGGCAACACATATAACCCCAGTTGACATAATTCATTCTGAATTTTGATAAGAGTGGGTTGTTTCATCTTTCAAAGTATTATCAGACCTTACCTAACGTCAGAGATTCATAAACTTCTAGACTATTTCCAACACCTCAAAACACGGGTTGAATGTCGATATTGCATTATATAAATACCTAAGATTTAAAAGTTGCTCAGTACATGACGTACCTGAGGATACCATTCTCCACTTAACCAAGTGCAGTTGTGATTGCTCAATGAGAAAAAACCAGTGTATACTCAAGACTAAAAAGTTACTTTATAGGCAACAGTTTGTAACACTACCATGTGGCTTCTTTACAGTTTCTACCTGGATATTATTGTAAAACTGAATAATAAAATGTCTTAAATGTTCAAATATGATTTATTACTGGACCATTTTTATTTGTTCATTTGGTTGTATATCACCAGATATTGTGCGATTTATTAGGACTCAGTTGGTCTTAGCAGGTTAACTGTTTTGAATAGTGTTGCATAGTTAACCTGGAAATAAACACTTATAATGTGCCACTATACGAAGATTTTTAGTTGATGAATAATTAACATAACAAAACAGACTCTGAACCACAAAAAATCGATGTTTATGCTTTGATTTCTCAATATTCCATTTCAAGAAAGCAGGTATAC